AGGGTTTCTCTGTGTAGCTTTGCGCCTTTCCTGGAACTCGCTTTGTAGACCAGGCTGGCCTCAAACTCACAGAGATCCACCTGCCTCTGCCTCCCACGTGCTGGGATTAAAGACATGGGCCACCACCGCCCGGCCCCCTTTGCATGTTTAGTATGATAGTACCAAAGAACAACTTACACAGTGATTCCAGGGAGCAAGAGAAAATCATGTAAGCCCTGGGCAGGCAGGCAATGGGGGATCTCAGGGTGGGGGTGTGCAGAGCCCTGTCTATTCCCATGCCCTTCACTGGTAGGTCTTTATATACATATTCTTCATCCTCTGCCATCCCAGCCACCTTCCTCTGTCCCCAGCAGAGGACATCATAGTCCTATGCTGTCGTCACAGTCCCCGCCCTAAGAATCAGTTGTGGACCTTCTGTTAATCGTATCAGAACTCAGCACTGCAGCTTGGCTTTGTCTGTCTGACTTTCATCAATAGAATCTGCTCCTTCCATTTTATGTGGCCTGTGAGGCTCTCCTAACAGCAGGCGCTGGCCAGCCTGGCTGTGGGCTGGTGGGTGTTTGAGTTCTTCCCTCTTGAGGACCCCAGTGACAGCTACCTGTCGTCAGTCATCTTAGGGTGGCTGTGGATTGCATTTCTCCCAGGAGCAGAGTTGATGACCCGCTGAAGCCTGTGATTGTGACCACACCCTTCTCTCGATTGGTGGCTCAATTTACACTGCCATCTGGGGGTGAGCCAGCACCCCCTTGCTCTGAATATTCTCAACACGTGGCAATGTCAGACTTTTCCATCTTTATTGTCAGCTGATACACAGCTGTACCTCCCCCTAATTTTCCTTTTTCCTTTTCTCTCATTTCTAAAGAGGTTGTGCATTTTTTTTTAAGATTTATTTATTTATTATGTATACAGTATTCTGCCTGCATGTGTCCCTGCAGGCCAGAAGAGGGCACCAGATCTCATTACAGATGGTTGTGAGCCACCATGTGGTTGCTGGGAATTGAACTCAGGACCTCTGGGAGAGCAGTCAGTGCTCTTAACCACTGAGCCATCTCTCCAGCCCGAGGTTGTGCATTTTTACACATTGATGAGCCATTTGTGTTTCCATGAAGCTTCCCTTTGACTTATGATGGGAACCATAACCCAGGTGAACCCAGTACCTAGACCTGGGTAGAATTAAAAATGCATAAATGCACCTATTGTACCAAACACCCCAGCTTGGCCACGCGGTGCACTGTACGGGGCAGATGTTCTGTTTGGGAGCACAGAGTAGACCAGAAGCTGAGCTCACAGCAACTTCCCAGCCTCATCAGAGAGGGCGAGACCATATACTTCTAGCCAGGAAAAGCCCAAAATCCAAAGTCTGGTGTGTACATGTGCATATTATTGCCAGCAACCTATCCTAAAATAAGAAGAAATCCAGAGGAGGACCATCTAAGTCCGGGAGCAACTGTGAGGCCAACTTCCTTTGTGTGCCATTTTTCTTTTCCATTGGGTCATTTGCCCATTTCCACTCAGCTGTGTGGGAACTCGTTTGCTCTAGACATGCAGATTGCTGGTCACATGTGTCACTGCTGATATGAGTTTTGTTTGTTTTTACTGACTGAAAGAGCTACGTTTGCCTTTGTCTCAGTCACTGTTGCTGTGAAAAGACTCTATGACCAAGGCAACTCAAAAAGAAAGCATTTAATTGGGGGCTCGTGTGCAGTTTCAGGGAGTTAGTTCATGATTGTCATGCCAGGAAGCGTGGTGACAGCCAAGTGTGGTGCTGGAGAAGGAGCTAAGAGCTAGATCCTGATCTGCAATCAGAGAGACAGACAGACAGAGACAGATTAGGCCTGGCATGGGCTTTTGACACCTCAAACCCACCCCCCTCCCCATCCCCATGACACACTTCCTCCAACAAGGCCACACCTCCTAATCCTTCCAATCCTTTCAAAAAGTCCCTGTGACTAAGCATTCAAGTACGTGAGCCTATGGGGGGCGGAGCATTCTTATTCAAACCACCACAGCCTCTGACCCTGTGTGTTCCATAAATTACACACACACACACACACACACATCATCATCATCATCATCATCCACTCATCACCCATTATCCGTCTACCCAACCACAACCTCCCCCGATACATTATTCAAAGTCCTCTCAGGCTTGAGATTACAATGCAATCCTCAGCTCTCAGCATGTCAACCATCAGAGGGTGCCCCACATGACCAGGTCCACATCTGCTCCCGTGGGCAAGGTGTCGTTTTTACGTGGACATCAGGGGAACCCCAGATGGCTGTGATGTACAGAGGTTGAGAACCTCTGGGAAGGCCTTTGTCTATACTCTTGTTCGTGGGACCCAAAGCCTCACCCGTCCCAGGGCTCTGAGTGTGTCTTGTCATCATGTCAGTCAATGTTACAGGATCTGGGGGAAGATGGAAAACTAACATGTGTCTCTAAACTAGCACAGCAATGACAGCCCAAAGAACGGCTCAGACTAGCTCATCCTGTTGAGTAAAGGAGTTTATTGGGAGTATCTAGGCAGCGGTGATAGACCACAGACTGCTGCACATGCGCATATCACCACCCACCTATCAAGCTCCTATTCCATGCGGCTCTAAGTCTGTAACAGAACTGGACTGACAGTGCTACTTAGACCTAAGTCAGCAGGGAGAGCTTGCACAGCATAAGACACAGACGAAACCCAACTTGGGGACGCTTTATTCTTTTTTTTTTTTTTTTAATTTTCATTTTATGTGCATTTGTGTTTTTGCCTCCATGTATGTGAGGATGTCGGATTCCCCTGGAACTGGAGTCACAGACAGTTGTGAGCTGCCATGTGGGTGCTGGGAATCGAACCCCGGTCCTCTGGAAGAGCAGTCAGTGCTCTTAATTGCTAAGCCATCGCTCCAGCCCCAGAGCTTTGTTCTTATGTGCACTTTGTCCTTGTCTCTGTCAAGGGTTCTGCAGGTCTCAGTGAGCAGGGTCTGACCAGGAGGAAGGCTTGTTTTTGCTATAGCCTGACACATAGCTGAGTGGAGGCTCGCTGTACAATAGAGTTACTCTCCCTAGATGTGCAGATCTAGTTCATTACACTTTTAAACAGACAGTAGTGTCCCCCATCTGTGCACACAGGGGGGTACATATTTACTTAGGTATGCGGAGAACAGTGTGAATTTCCAGAGATTTGAGCATCACCAGGCAAAGCTGCATTCGCTGCCTCTGTAACCAGAAGATGGCCTAGGTCAGTGCAGTCTCGGAGAAGCCCTGCATGGCTTCCCAGACTCGGAGGAAGGGTCATTCTGGCTGTCATTGCCACAGCAGCAGAGAGCGCAGGTGGCGCGGGCCCCAGAGGAGGCTCTGTCACCACAAGCTTTGTGAGGCAGGCCTTGGACGTGAGCATCCCCACTGAGAAAGTGCCGGGCCCCTGGCTGTCCACCAGCGCCAGGGCTCTGCCAGGGTTAGCCCTCTCCTCCATGTGACTAGACCCAGAGCACACAGCAACACCCTCAGGTCTTCACAGAAGCCTCTGGTACCTGCAGCATGATGTCCAGGACAAGGCCACTGCAGTTCACTACATCCTCCTCAGAGCACCCTGGGCTGTACTCTGTTACTATGCAGAAGACCTGCGCCTGAAGCTGCCTCTGCAGGTACGGGGGACGTAAGGGCAGAAGGAGAGGGTGGAGGCCCCACCCGGGTCTACGTTTGCTTGATCAGCTCAGCCAAAACCATCACTCCTTGGAGGTGCTCCCACTTGGGGACCTCCATTTTCCTGTCCACTGTCACATGGAGCCTCAAAACACCCACGGGGTGAATGGGGGAGAATATCCTGCCTGGCAGGCTCAGGAATATAAAAGTCTGGTATATGGAGGGTAGGCGAGGCTGTGGGATGGCTGAGTTCCCTGCAGGCGCGTCTGCTGAGGCAGCTCGAGCCTCCCCCCCCCCCCCCCCCCCCCCCCCCTGTGTGCTCAGGGTGAGCACACGGCAGCCTCCTTGTGCCCCCAGGATGGTGTGCCTGGATTGCTCCCAGTGGGTTTCACTAGCATGGCACTGGGGTGGACAGAGGCACACTGTTCACTCTCTTTTGTTCCCTAGAGGCATGAGCAGCTCTGGTCCTCCATTTAACAAGCCAAGCAACTCTCAGAGCCCAAGGCCCCGAGAGGGGAAGGGTCCATGGCAGGGCCAAGAGTAAGAGATGCTGTCTCTCAATGCTGAGGCCTTTTGACTGGAGTCCCATGTTCAGATTTGGCCAGTCTCCTCCCCAGCTGTGAAGATTTCCCTCTGAACCATTTTCTTTCCAGGAGTTACCCAACCAGGCCTCCAACTGGTCGGCCACCCTTCTGGAGTGGCTGGGCATCCCCAATATCCTGCTGGAGCACGTGCCAGACACGCCTCCCGAGTACTACTCCTGCCAGTTCAAAGCAAGCAAGCTGCAATGGTATGGCGTCTCAGCCCTGTTGAGCCTGCAGGACAGCCTCCTGGGGGACCAGCCCCCATAAGAACTAGGATGGATGTGTGAATGAACAGGATGGATGTGTGAATGAATAGGATGGATGTGTGAATGAACAGGATGGATGTGTGAATGAACAGGATGGATGTGTGAATGCATAGGATGGATGTGTGAATGCATAGGATGGATGTGTGAATGCATAGGATGGATGTGTGAATGAACAGGATGGATGTGTGAATGAGACTGTGAATGAATTAACTAAACGTCATGCTTTTTCTCAAATGCTCTCCTCACCTGGGATTTTCAGAGAATACCATCTGAATCCCAGGTGAACAAGCCTACTGAATAGCTGTGTCTTGGAAGTCATCTGCATTAGTCAGGATAGGGTGGCTGTGCTGTGGGACAAACATGCCCCAAATCCTAGGAATGGATCCACAAGGCCCAAGTCACAATCCATTTCTGTCGCTAAACAAAATACCCAAAGATAGGTTCTCCGTCAGAGAAAAGCTGAGGGCAGGGGAAATGGGTTACCAAGTCAAAATGCTTGTCACGCAAGCCTGACAATATGAGTTCAATCCCTGGAACCCACCCAAAAAGCCAGATGTGATGGTGCACATCTGTAATCCCAGAACTCCTATACTGAGATGGAACTAAGGCAGAATTGCCCTGAAGCTCACAGGCCAGCTAGCCTGGAGTCTACAGAGCAGCAGAAACTATGGACACCCTGCCTCAACAAGGTCACTCGGTACTGGGATGTGCACATGTCTCTCTCTCTCTCTCTCTCTCTCTCTCTCTCTCTCTCTCTCTCTCTCTCTCTCTCTCTCTCTCTCTCTCTCTCTCTCTCTCTCACACACACAC